TTGTCCCACTCGCTGGATCTGACGAGAGATGGTCTTGTGCAGAAGGGTGTGGAGAGTTCGAGAGGAGAGAGTTAGCTGAATGAGGACTGAGCTGAGTGGGTAGCAGGCTGGCAGAGCTGGTTCGTTGTTCGGTCGGACGGTGGCGTCGACGCTTCGGTTTGTGCGTTGGAGGGACGGGCGCTTCACACGTTCGTCCGGAAGAAAAAAAAAATCTGATAAGCGCTCGAACTAGCGCTCGTGCGTTGCAATCCCAATCGCTTACACCGGTGCTTCTCTCTAAATTAATTTTCTTTTAACGCAAGCGCCCAAATAAGCGCCCATGCATTGGAGATGCCCTTATACGTCGACACAAGACACCATTTCCACAGCACTTGATTACTCGTATGAATCGACATCAAAAATTACCAGCGTTCAATAAGTTCGTCACAATAACGGATGTGAAGTTTCTGCACCTGGGTGAACAGTAAAATCGAAAAATATTTTAAAAATGTTCAAAAACCCTGAAATTTTTTATGACAAACTTAGACAAATTTTCTACGAGCTTGCAAAGATTCATATCGAAATCACATTTGAGGAAGCCGTGGCAAAAAAATTAAAAAAAGATCGATTCCCCAAATGCTACTTTCGAAAGCATTTTGGAGCACTAATTTTGTCTTTTTTGCCACGACTTACACAAATATGATTTCGAGATGAAAATTTGCAAGCTCTTAAAACATTTGTCAAAGTTTGTCATAAAAAAATCAGATTTTTTTTGAACATTTTTTTAAAAAAATTCGATGTTACTGTTCATCCCGAGCTCAGATGAGCTCGGGTGTAGAAGGGCACTTTTGCACAATAATCCTGTTATCTACCCTATTCGTTCCACGGTAAGGGAGATTATTTTAATACGACGGTAGTGTTCGGATATGGCATGTTCGTGGTCGTGCTAATTTTATTACTCATCAACACTATACTGTTAGTAGAGATACCTTGCTGGAATGATCTGATTGCTTATCCAGGTTGCTAGTCTGGCCAGCAGAACAAATAGATCCAGGGCTAACCACCCTTCTGATGTGCGCCCAATGCCAAACTGCATCTCGACATCCAAATAGCCTGTTCGCATAGCTGAAATCACATATTTACCTATGCTGAATCCGTACAATGGCCGGCGGCGCGGCGCGCTAGATGTGCCCCGGCGCTGGATTTTCCCGTGCGGCGAAACTCGTGCCATACCCTTGGCCCGGACGCGACGTGCCCTGCCCGCTGGATTTTCCCGGCGGCGAAACTCGTGACGTACCCTTGGCCCGGACCTGCGGCTGATTCCGCGCCTCCTCTTCTTGTACCAGCAACTCCCGCCTCCCGCTCAGATTTGGGTTCTCTCCATACTCGGCCTCAGATTAATCCCCCTCCCGCACCGCCCAACATGCTCCCAGAGATACAGGAGTGCCCGATAGTGTCTATCCTTATCTCGTTGTACAGTAGCCTAAGGTAGGAACTAGGGAGTAGGCGGATCACGACCGGGTACAACTACTAACACGAGCGATATAACCGTGAACTTATAATCTTACGGAAACGGCTTGCACAAATCCTGATGTATATGGACCTACATGATAAGCGGGCCGAGGTGCAGGTGCTCTCTTCTATGTTTTCGGTAGGGAGAGCGGTGGCTGGGCAACCCCATCATGCAGCGGGAACGAGAGGAATCCAGACATCAAACCCGGATCTGCCGTCCAGAGCCGCCGCCAGACCAGCATTGGAAAGCAGCGTCCCAACCCGCCTTCTCTTCTCTCCGTCTCACCTTCTCTCTCATGCGTCCCTTCTTCCCAGGAGACCAAGCCGCCATGGCCATGGAGCATCGCCGCTGCCAGCCTTTGCGCCGCTGCGTTGGATCCCGATATGATCCGCCTCGCCCCGACGTCAGCCACTTCCCCGACAGCCCCCACCTCCCAGAGCCATTCCGCCGTCGCCCTGCATCATGTCCCGATCGGATCGGGAGCGCCGCCACTCGATCTGAAGCCAAACGTGCACAGAGGGTTGACGAAAAATAATATCAAACCTTTTTTCTTCACTCACAGAGGATTGCGGTTTAAATTAGCCAAAACATAGAGGCTTTTGTGTAAAATTAGCGACGACGGTGAACGGACAGAAACAATCCGTGCTTTATTAATAAAGTAAAGATAAAGATAAAGACTAGCAAGCAACGCTCCTTACTAATTTTTTTCCTACTAAAGTGGTCCCATCCATGACTAAGATGGCAAAACTCAAATGCCACCTGTTGCAGTTTTCTCGCTCCTTGGAGCTGCAACTCTGTTGTACCTTGGCTTGTAAATACCAGACCACAACAACAACCCATAAGCAAGAACTTGCTTTTTGAGGAAGCAAATCAGCCTGTCGATTTTTATGAAACAAAATAAATCAAGGCATTCACCTGCTTCGTCAACTATGAAACGGAGATCGAGCTTCTGGGCCCAATCCGATCTATTGTATGGTGGATGTACCTTGATATATGCTCATGCACGTTCAAAAATGTCCTAGTGAGTGAAAGAGCGTACAATTACCACTGCAACAGAAAGATTCTCAAGGGCCAATTTCAGAACAAAAAACATGATTTGCTTCTCAAATGAGTAGAGGCTACCCGATTAAGAACAATTACGACGGTGAACGGACAGAAACTACGATTTGCTTCTCAAATGAACGGACAAAAACAGTTACTCCCTCTGTCCGTTAATATAAGAACGTTTTTCAATCTAAAACAGCTTGAAAATGTTTTTATATTATGAGACGGAGGGAGTAGAACTAGAGACAATACTACCAATATTCATTTTTTATTCAGATAAAGAAATATGCACAGTTGGTCTCGATGTTAATGGGATATGACAACCTTGATCTCAAATTGTTGTCCGGTGACCAGCGACAGCCCACTGACGCTGAGCACTCCATTCGTCCGGGAATTTGGTGCGGGCTTCCTTGAGGTCATCGCTGTTCACATGGACGGCTCGATCGGGAAGAGGAGCGGCTGATCAGGGAAGGTAGTAGCGGAAGAGGAGCAGCACAGCGGATCAGGAGGGTGACTTGCGGCAACTAAAATATTCCCTAACCAGGGCTCGTGATACCATGCTGATGTTAGGAGAAAAGCAATTTGTATTTTTAGGAGGCCAAAGATAAAATATATACATGTACAAGAGAATGCCAAAAAGCTAGAAGGCAAAAGGCCAAGGAACTACAACTCTGTTGTACTTTGGCTTGTAAATATCAGATCACATCGACAACCAATAAGTAAGATTGTAAGAACTTGATTTTTGTGAAACAAACAAATCAAGGTATTGACCAGTTTGCGAACCAATCTGTGATTGAATAATTAGGAGGACAGTCGTATCCCTAGCCCACTAGGTTTCAAATCCTTATGCTCGCATTATTTCCTTGATTTATTTCAGGACTTTCGTCGATGTGCGTTCACTGCGACTCCTGGGATGAGGCGTTCCCATCGACTATGAAGTCGTGTTGGAGTGTGCGTTTATAGAGGTGAGTGTATAGACGTTTACATAAACGTCTGTGTTTGTACTGTATTAAAACAATATTGAGCTGTTTGAGGAAGTAAATCTATTGTACGAGTGAAAGAACGTACCATTCCCTCTCCATCAGAAAGATGGTCAAGGAGCAATTTCAGACTCGTAACCGGATTAGCCTTGTACGTCCGGCTGTTTTCCTCTCGTACCTGGCGGCTGCAACCCTAGCCGCCGCCAGAGGCCGATCTTCCAACACTGTTCTCCGGCGGCTCCCCTCCGCTGGCGACCTCGGTCGTCGGTGGTGAGGGGGGTCGCCGGATCCACGCGTGTGGATCCTTTTTACTCATCCGTAGTCTAGGTTTTTAGGTTGTTCATCGTCTTTGCTTCGGCGGCGACGATGACGACGCTGAATAAATATTCTTCGGATGCTTTCCTGACGAGGCCATCGGTCCTATTGTTGGGGATGGATTTGGAAATCAGTCTGTTCAAGCAAGGATGGCGTGGCGGACGGCGGCATCCTCGTGGTGGACCTGTGTCCTCGGGCTCCATCGTCGCGACGACGTTTGCTCTAGCGTTGGTGTGGAGCTTGGGAGGTAGTCCAGGAGCGGATGCAGATTGTGGTCTACATCGACGACATCTGGAAGATAGAACGTGTGCTGGGTTCGTGGTTCGTGGATGGCAGGTATGGTTTCCTCTTTCGGCGTCTTAGTCGTGGTGGAGTGCCAGATCTGGAGTTCGATGGCGCGTCCGGGGTGTTGCCCCGGTCTGATTCGTTCAACGACAATGGCTTCACTTTTGGTGAGCTACCTTGGAGGTCCGCAAAGCTGCATATCAGCGATGGAGCCGCGTCGAGCTCAGGTGAGGAGGTGATCCGCCATTTTTTTGTTCGGTGGCTGCTGTGGTGGTGCCGGAGGCAGGTGTCGGGCGTTAGTGTCAAGCTCAAAAATGTTCTGCTATCTTTTCAGTTTTGTCATGTCGATCCTTACGTGACTTGTACTTTATTCTTTATGATATGAATGAGACACGTATTACCATGCAACAATTTCAGATTAAATCACGAAACAAAACATGATTTCCTTTTCTTAAATGAGCCAAAAGCTGCTTTGGTACCAAATGGCCAATTATTAAGGCCCTTCCCAGTGCTCCACGGTGTACAGGTGCTAAGGGTGCCACATAGGCAAAAAAATGATGTGGCAAAGCAATTAATGAGGAGAGACAGCATTATGGTGACCCCAAGAGAAAACGGTGCTAAGCGTGTGAACCTATGCAAAATGACTATCAACCAATGAATGATGGAGTTTAATTGTTAAACAATTCAATGAGGGAGGCTTAGCTACAAAAGCTAAACACCAATGCACTGGGGAGACCAGTTACTAAGGTTTTAAATGTGCTTAGCATCTCACATAAACACCTATGCATTGGAATTAGCATAAGAACTATGCATGAGAACTGGTAGACGATACTACCAATTTTCATTGTTTATTCAGATAAAGAACTTGCACAAATGTCTCGATGTTAGTGAGACGTGACGACCTTTACCTCGAACTGCTGTCCGATGAGCAGCGACAACCCACTGACGCTGAATACTCCGTTCGTCCGGGACTTGGTGCGGGCTGCCTTGAGCTCAACACCGTTCACATACACGGTGAACCCCTTTGGTGCCGACGGGAGCCCCATGAAGGCCACCTTGCCGATGACCAGAGTCCGGCTCGGAGCGTACGAGTTCTGCACCACATGCGAACTCACCTTGGTCGTGATGATGCCCTTGCTATCCTCCGTGTTGCAGCTAAACCTCACCAGCGTCCAGTTGCCTCCCACCCCTCCCATCTCCGGCGACTCGCCGTCATCCAAGAACAGCTTCCCGCTGGCTGTGCCATTCTCCGCGAGCGCCACAAGGAGGTGGAACTCGCTTTGTCGTGCGGTGGACGTGGTCAGGCCGGGCTGCTGCAGCGGTAGTATGTTGCCCCCGGCCAGGTGCACATTTGCCGAGTCCGCTGGCGCTGGGAGCGTCACTCTCTTGCCGGTCTGCAAGGTGATGGCGGGGGAGCGGTCGTGAAGACTAAACCACCGGCCCGCCGGGAAATAGGCGTCGACGGTGGTAGCTCCCGGCTCTAACACCGGAGAGACAAGCACGCCACGGCCTAGCAGGAACTGCCTATCCACGCCGTAGGTGTTGGCATCCTGAGGATAGGAGAAGAAGAGCGGGCGCGCTATGGGTGACCCCGTTGTGTGCGCCTCATACATGAGCGTGTAGATGTAGGGGAGCAGCCGGTACCGCATCCCCAACGCCTTCCTCGCCGACTGTGCCGTCGACTCCCACACGTAGAGCTCTCGCCGGGCGGTTGTCTTCTCTGCATGCGCCCTGGCAAACGGGTAGAATGCACCAAGCTGTATCCAGCGGCTGCAGAGATCCTGGGTCGTGTTGCCAGTGAAGCCGCAGATGTCAGCGCCCATCATGGGGATGCCGAAGAGTCCAAAGTTGAGGATGGTGTTGATGGACTGCGCAAGCTGCTCCCACCGCCCGTCATTGTCGCCGGTCCAGTGAGCGGTGTAGCGCCCCGAGCTGACGAACGTGGCACGACTGAGCACGAAGGGGCGGCGCGCTGTGTCCTTGAGAAGAGCATCATGCGTGGCCCGCGACTCGAGGAGGCCGTAGAGGTTGTGCGCATCGTACTCCGACACGCCATTGAAGTGCACCGTGGACACCGGTACGGTCTTGTTATTAAGGTTACGGTGAATGCCGGTGTTGTTGATGCGGTAGGACGAGTAGTCGTACTCGTTGAGCGGCTCCCAATCCTTGAAGTTGGAGGGCTCGTTCATGTCGCACCACAGCCCGTCGGCGGGGATGGTGCGACGGAACTCCGAGATTTTCCGCGCCCAGTACTCAGCAGCGTGTGCGCTCATGAAGTCCGGGTAATAGACCTCGCCTGGCCACACCCGGCCGACATAGTTGGTGCCATTTCGCTGGAGGAACAGACCCACGGACTCATTTTGCGGAGGAGCTGCTTCTTTTTTGATCGCCGGGTCTATGATGACCACGTATTTCTGGCTGTTATTGTGCAGCCGGTCCACAAACGGCCGGAGCAAATTGGCTGGGAAGTTGGTCGGATCCAGCGTGAAATCCTGGCCGCCGTCCATGTAGTCGATGTCCGACCAAATCGACTCTAATGGAATCTTGGCCTTGGCATAGCCCGCGACTACGCCCTCCAGGTCAGCCACATTCTTGTAGCCATACCTGCACTGGTGGAACCCTGCATTGCAAGAAATAGCGGATCAGGTGAGTACCAAGGTTTTGATTTTCATTCGTGAAAATTTTCGCCCGAGGCCGAGGTGGCCGAATTTCGGCCATTTTCAAAAATTTCGGCCGAAATTTGATCAAAACCTATTTTTTCGTTGGAAGATATTTTTCTCCTCAGGCCGAGATGGCCGAAATCCGTTCTTTTCGGCCAAAATTCAAACCACAGGTGAGTACAACAGAATTATATAAGCATGCACGGAACTAGCAAGACGGTTGAGTACACGTACCAAATGACCAGTATGGCATGGGGGCAGGGCGGCCGATGAGCTGGGTGTACTGGTCGACGACGGCGAGCGGGGAGGGCCCGGCGAAGAAGTAGAAGTCGAGCACACCGCCGATCACCTTATAGGTGATGTAGGACCCGCCATACTCTATGTCCATCCCGTTGGTGTTGAGGAGCAGAACGCCGTGCGCAGCGCCGCCGGGGCGCACATCCATGTAGAATGGGTGTGAGCTGTAGAGGTTGATGTCCAGTATGTCGGCCCTCCCGACGTCCTCGTTCCAGATCGTGAACGTGTCGTTCTGTTGGAGCCGGAATCTCCGTTTTGTCTGCTCGCCCAGTCCGTACAAAGATGCCCCCCTGGCTGGCAGCGCGGACGTCACCTCCAAGTACCTGCATTATAGTTCCACATGCCCATCACCACTTATAGGCTACTTACGGATCAACTAGCTACACCGTGTGCCTTGTATCATGTATTACGTACCGGTTCTTGAAGACGAGTGCGGCGGAGGTGTCGAAGAGGACGTCGCCGGTGGAGCGGCGGGAGACGGTGAAGCGGAACGGGGCGGTGTGGATGGTGAAGGTCAGGTCTGAAGACGCACTGGACATGGTGCTGTTGCCGGGCAAGGAAGCATTGCTCAAGCCCGAGGAATGTAGCAAGACGTCCTCCGGCACCGGCGCTGGGCGCGGGATAACGTCCTGGGGGACCTCCCATCGCAAATGATCGGCATCGGTGATGTGCACGTGGAGCCGGCTGTCCTTCTCTAGGCTACCGTCAAAATTAAAACAGTGAGGAATTTGTACCTCTTTTGAAAGAAAAAACCCAACTCAAGATCAAACACACTTACCTTGCAGTCAGATTGAGCCGCTTGACATCAGGCCCGAACTCCGCCGTCCCGCCTACAAGTTTCAGCTTGGCTGACAGCACATTCCCTGACCCGGCGACCGACTCGACTTCGTAGTTGGCGCCACAACGATGGAGAAGGCATATGAGGATGGTGAGGAGTGTGAAAAGACCAGCAAGTGACGAGATGATCGTCATCAGATGATATGATGGGTGCAACACAAGTGAGTGCCATCAGCTATTGGAGTGCGTATCTTTATATAGACTTGTCATCATCTTCAATGTTTAGAAAGTTTCAAATGTGTGCCTAAATTATAAAAGGATGTTAAGACTTATCGCCGTCCGGAATCTGGCCTCCGTGCAAGTCATCGCCGTCCGCAATCGTGCCGTGATCTGGCCTCCGTGCACGTCATTGCCGCCCGCAATCCACGCCGTGATCTTCTACCTTAATTAAGCACTTCCTAGAAATCTCACGTCAATTACAGAAAATTTGAAAATAGAGGCCATTGATTTGGTGGGTCCGAATTATAAAAATCTAACGTTGAAATTCTCATGTTAATGAGAGAATATTAGAAAATAAAGGCCATTGATTTGGTGGGTCTGATTTTAATGATTTAGATCTAACCTAGAATTATAATGGTTGAGATCTAATCGGAGTCAATCTTATAATCAGACTAGTATAACGCCCGTGCGTTGCCACGGACTCTTTAAAATTTATAATCAGTATCTTTCATTTATCATCCCTTCATATTGGGTGATTATGGGATGCTCTAATTAGAAACACAACAATCAAATATTAGGAAATTTCACCGAACGAACAACAACGAATAATACGATATCTATCAAACAAATAAAATGAGGTCATATTTTTGGTCCGTCATGCACTTCTGTTGAAAAGTGCCTATCCCTTTTAGAATCAACCCACTGTTTGCTCGCACGCAAAAAAATACATCTCTAAAGTGGGGAACCGATCGGTGCCAAAAAGAACTCAAACTCCTATCCAATCTCGACTTCGTGCTCTTTCACTTCCATTGATAAAGATGGGACGTCAAAGGTTTCATCATGATGACCTCGAGCAGCCGCCGACATCCCTCCCCACATCTACCCCTACCCCATGCTGCCGCTTGCACTATCCTTGCTCCTCGAGGGAGCTAGGGACACAATGTTCTCTAGGATGGGCATGACCAGATCCACGAGGAGGCCACATTCTTCCATGGGAACCCAATCAAGCACACCATCCTTCGCAACCATCCAATCCCGGCCTAACAAAGTCAAGACCCGCCATCGATCCACAAATCAGGCTTGCCGCATCCAGGTTCACTGCAAGTCTGCGACGAGTCTGTAGTCGACATCTTGACTTTGGCTATCCCCACGGAAGAATCATCGGATCCTGCTTACTTTTACCATCACTTCGTCTCTTCCCAAGGCAGCGACACCACCCAGCCAATCACCATCACCGCTTGCGGCTTGCCTACATAAAATCATGAGAAATCCCCACGGCGGTGCTGTAAGATCACCTTGGCGACCTCGACAGTGACCGACTGGTCTAAGATCTAAGCTAGCCGCTCTTTGTAGAAACCAATAGAAGTAGGCATGTGACTCAGATTTGTTCTTTGGTGTGCATGCGTTTCTTGCTGCCCACCAGCTCTTGTCTACAACTCGCCTATCTCTGTACCAGCTCTTGGTCTACAACTCGCCTATCTCCATGCTCGAGACGACCAAGCTCGATGCGCAAGCCGCATACGTCTGCTAGAGCTATATCCAGGCCCTATGATTTTTGGATCACTGGCACTATGGGTGCCAGGACCGGAGTCGCCCTCATCCACCAAGTGGATCAAGGAGGCCCACCACCTAGACTCTACATCGCAACATTTTGTGTTTTCCTATAAAAAGTAAAGAACCTTCTCTAATAAACGTAAATATAACCTTTTGGTTTTATAGTCTCAACTTTCCTACACTCCAATACCAGAAGGATTTCTTGGTTTTATTTAATGACCTTCTTGAATGTCATTCACTTAGAAAGGTAGTAATACAATCTATGATATTAAGGCAAATTATTAGTCATATTAAAGTGCAAAAGGCCCTATAGGAGTCAAAGCATGACTTTTATGGTTATACTGTAATTTGCAAGATCTGAGATTTATGCAAGTGTACAATTAGAGAAGAGCCAATTAAATAGATTTTCACATTCAGAATAGTATGATTAGCAGTAGCACTTCAATTTTTTCATGTTTGATCAGCTTGCTAGGTGGTTATCACTAAGCATGTTGGAACGATGAGCATAACCTAACTTAGTTCAGTACGTGTTGCTGCAAATTAGTTCAGTACGTACGAAGCTGTTGCTAATTTCAATGCCTGGCTGTTGCAAGTTTCTAATGAAAAAGTACTTCAGGTCAAAGGTCAGGGAATATACACTTTTGTTATCATGGTTGTTTCCTTATAGTGAACAACTTTGATCACCACTTCAGCAGCTACTATCTATAAGAAGACATTAGCTAAGTAGATACAGGCAAAGAAAGCATGTAGGCAAAACCAGAATTAAAAACATCCTTCTCAATGGAGCTCGTGTAGTTCGGAAGACCCTAATCATCGATGAGGGACCCCTCCGATGGTAGCATGGCGTGACAATTGCCGTCAATGACGACACCCAAAGTACCTTGCATAATCCATCGATCCAGTTTAGAACAATCAAGCACATACCTTGCAAAGTGATGTGGATCTGAAGCAGAGGTGGGAAGGTAAAGACTCAGGTGAGGTGAGGTGGAATGAGACGTTGATATAGACGTGCACGCATGAGAATAAGGCGGTGCCCAGGATGGATCTCCATCGGAGGAGGCCGGATCCACTGGGGAGGAGGTCGCTGTAGTACCTGCCATCTGTGCGATGGATCACGGGGCTGGCAGGCAGGGGGAGGGGATAGGAGGGAGCGGGTGGGCTAGAGCGCAGATGGCGGGTGCCCCCGACGACGGCTGGGAAGGATGGTGGAGGAGGTGGATGAGGATGGCGGCGGCGGCGTCTGCGGTTGCGCCTCGTCCGCAG